TTGATAGATAGATAGAAGGATAGAGAGATAGATAGACAGATAGATAGACAGATGGATAGAGAGATAGAGAGATCGATAGATAGACAGATGGATAGAGAGATAGAGAGATCGATAGATAGATAGATGGATAGAGAGATAGATAGATAGATAGAGAGAGAGAGAGATGGATAGATAGCTGGAAGTGGTGGTTTTGGATCCTGCCCACTGCAGTAAAGAAGCAGGTCTGGTTTTTGAGGCTTTAATGGAGCACACTTGCTTTTGAAGAGCGACGATGACTCAGCGCCTCTCCTCCATGTGTTTGTGTTTTAACGACGGTCTGAACAATAGAAAACAGTTTATCCCGCTCGTTATGTTCCTGTAAAACTGCCCAGAGTCAAGCCCTCAGGAGGCCTTTCACCAACTCTAAACCCCAACCAGATCCTCTTCAGTTCTCCGGGTCATCGTGCTCCACTTTCAGAAGTATTTCTTTCAAACCTCTGAAACATGTGCTCACAAACATGGGAATAAGAGCCCTGCAGTGTGAGAGCAGCCATGAAAGGAATCTGCTGATCGTTTCTTCCCGCTCTGCTTTCTGTCTAGACGAGGAAAAGCCGGCTCGGAAAGTCTCCCTCTGTGCTGTGAATGAATGACTCACTGCCATCCTCTTCCTCCTTTTCCCATTCCTCTCCCTCTCGGTTTCCACAACTTCACCTTACATTGAGGCAGGTCCTCTCCTGCTGATGTTCAGGTTGTATATCAGTATGTAGTGTCTCTACTTTAAAGAGTCCTCTCCTGCTGATGTTCAGGTGTATATCAGTATGTAGTGTCTCTACTTTAAAGAGTCCTCTCCTGCTGATGTTCAGGTGTATATCAGTATGTAGTGTCTCTACTTTAAAGAGTCCTCTCCTGCTGATGTTCAGGTGTATATCAGTATGTAGTATCTCTACTTTAAAGAGTCCTCTCCTGCTGATGTCCAGGTGTATATCAGTATGTAGTGTCTCTACTTTAAAGAGTCCTCTCCTGCTGATGTTCAGGTGTATATCAGTATGTAGTGTCTCTACTTTAAAGAGTCCTCTCCTGCTGATGTTCAGGTGTATATCAGTATGTAGTGTCTCTACTTTAAAGAGTCCTCTCCTGCTGATGTTCAGGTGTATATCAGTATGTAGTGTCTCTACTTTAAAGAGTCCTCTCCTGCTGATGTTCAGGTGTATATCAGTATGTAGTGTCTCTACTTTAAAGAGTCCTCTCCTGCTGATGTTCAGGTGTATATCAGTATGTAGTGTCTCTAGTGGGACATGTCTCCATGCTTTAATGTTCAATGAGAGCTAGCCAATAGGAGCTTGAGTGTTCTATAGTGATGTCACTGTGTTCTGAAACGTGGGGATTGTACTCGTTGCAGACCATTTACATGCACTAAAACCTGCATAACATTACAGGAGAGGGAAAACCGGTTTGAAAAGTGTTTATGTCTTTACCTGCAGGTCCTCTGGGTCCTTTCTGTCCGACTCCTGATAATCCTCGCTCTCCTTTCTCTCCCGCAGTGCCTGAGGAAACACACACCGTCAGAATCTGCATAGCAACAGTAATCCTGATACGCTCAGTGAGTTACAGCATCATACTGTTTCTACAGACTTAAACTTTTCTTTTTCTTTGGAACAGACCCTGCCCTTGATCATATTAAAACATGTCTCAATGGTAATGTGAATAATGTTTCAAAACGTCTAACATTTCGAATCATAAGGCAATATCAGTTAAAATAATTACAATGAGTTATTTTTTCCAGTCTTATTTAATATCAAACAAAATACAAACATCCCATCTACATATTTGAGCAGCTGGAATCTGCATTCTTTGCAATATTATCATGAAAAATGACTTTAAAAATAAGTAACTCTGCAGAAACATTTTTTGCTGATTGACTTATTTGACATGTTGTTCCAGCTGTTATTGATTTCTGTGTTTCCTCGTCATGGTAACAGCGATAGCCTCCCTCTTTCAGATGTAAAGTCTCTCTCACCTCTCTCTCCCGTCTGTCCCGGTGATCCGTTGTTTCCGTCGAACCCGTTCCTCCCTGCGGCGCCGGGCTCTCCGCGGGTCCCCTGCCTGCCTTCGACTCCCGGAGGCCCCGGGGGTCCTGGCTTGTTGCTGCGATACTGACCGCTAGGGACTTGGTTCAGTAACGTGTTGACTCGACCCATTTGTGCTGCAGCAGAGGAGACCACAGTCAGTGTCGCGGTTCAGAATCAGATCGGTCGGTAGGTCACTAGGTCGGTAGGTCGGTCGTTCGGTAGATAGGTAGGTAGGTAGGTAGGTAGGTCGGTCAGTCGGTCGTTCGGTAGATAGGTAGGTAGGTAGGTAGGTCGGTCGTTCGGTAGATAGGTAGGTAGGTAGGTAGGTAGGTAGGTCGGTCGGTAGATAGGTAGGTAGGTCGGTCGGTCGTTCGGTAGGTAGGTAGGTAGGTAGGTAGATAGGTAGGTAGGTCGGTCGGTCGGTCGTTCGGTAGATAGGTAGGTAGGTAGGTAGGTAGGTAGGTAGATAGGTAGGTAGGTAGGTAGGTAGGTAGGTAGGTCGGTCGGTAGGTAGGTAGGTAGATAGGTAGGTAGGTAGGTAGATAGGTAGGTAGGTTGGTCGGTCGTTCGGTAGATAGGTAGGTAGGTAGGTAGGTAGGTTGGTCGGTCGTTCGGTAGATAGGTAGGTAGGTAGATAGGTAGGTCGGTCAGTCGGTCGTTCGGTAGATAGGTAGGTAGGTAGATAGGTAGGTAGGTAGGTCGGTCGTTCGGTAGGTAGGTAGGTAGGTCGGTCGGTCGGTCGGTCGGTCGTTCGGTAGGTAGATAGGTAGGTAGGTCGGTCGGTAGGTAGGTAGGTAGGTAGATAGGTAGGTAGGTCGGTCAGTCGGTCGTT